GCAGGAAGGCCAGTGCAGCTGTTGGAGCTCTCTGGTGGCAGCTCTTCTCTTCAGCAAGACTTTTCCTGTTTGAACTAACTGATCTGTCAATCAGACATCCATAACCTAGAAAAACATCCTCTGGTAATTTCAGTAGCAACACCTACAGATGGGAACACAGCTCATGGCTTCCACACTCTAGCCTGGACTACCCGGCAGGTAGCTGCTTATAGACCAGACCCAGAACTCCACAGACCAGGAGTGGGGATGGCAAGACCTATCACTCCCCCAGTAAAGACCTACCACTCCACTAGTATCCCATCTTCCCAAAAAATTCCTCTCAGAAGCTGTGCTTTTCTCAGAGTGATGCATCATCACAGAAAGCATTTCAGAAAGAGGCTTCAGCTATTTTGTCAAAGGCTACCAATGCTGTCAGATTGGCCACTAGTTATCAATAAAAAAAAAATTCACAGGGTTAGAAATTGGGAAGAGGGATGCGAATGAGTGCAGCTATACTGGCCATTACAGTAACACTTTGGTAGCCATCCCCTTCCTTCATAGGGACAGAGAGCTCCAGGACTGAGGACTTTACAGTTGAGGGGAGAAGAGAGGAGAGAAAGTGGGGTTAGTTTTGCCTTGCTGTATACAGCTCACATGGTTATTTCTGAACCACAGTATAAAGAGTTCAGAGCATCTCCCATCCTTGCGCTAATCAAAGGGAAACTGTCTGAGAAAGGGGCAAAGGTGGAGTGCTCAGGAAAATATGTATATAAAAAAAGCCCTTTGATGCCCAAAGACGGATATTTAATTTGCTTCTCAAAAAAAAAAAAAAAAAAAAAAAAAAAAAAAGAGAAAAAAAAAATCTTTCAACTTATCCTGATTTGAAAAGAAAACAGCAGCTGCGAGCAGCGAAGAGTTGGGTATTGGAAGAAGGTAATGTGTGTTAAGGCACTCCATAGCCAAACCACCGCTCCACCACTCACCAGGGGAATAACCCCCACCCCCAGTGCGCCCTTAGGGTTTTTCAATGGACGGGGTGTTAAAACAGCCAGATGGCAAGGTCTTCTTGATGTCTTCCAGGTTGCTAATGTCCTTCAGGATCTCTTCAATGTCCCTGTTGTAGGCCTGAATTGCATCATCTTGCTTCCTGGCTTCTCTCTCAAGAAAAGACACTTTCTGGTCCAGGTCACTATCTTTCATCTGGTCTTTGGCACTGTTCAGGGTACCCTCAATTTCATTCAGTTTGTTCAAGTCCACCGTCTCCAGTTGCCCTGAAAAGCCAGAAGCAAATAGTGAAGTCCATTAAAAAAAACTTTGACACTTTAGTTGTGGATGCTTACACAGCTTGGCCCACTCAGAGACCTCCATCATGTTCTCCCTACATTAGAAACAGTATTTAAAACAGCACCAACCATACAGATTACAGCTTCAGTGCCTCAGAAACAGTCCCCAGCTTGCAGAAAAAGCAGTACTCAACATTGCACAATGGGCAACCAAATTCCTTGACAAAAACATGCCAAGAGACCCATTTGATTCCTTGCACAGCACTGTCAGGGAAGCCAGCACCATGCCACCTGCTGAGACTGCCACATCAGGGAAACACTTAAAGGCATACAGCACATTAAGGACAATCATACCTAATTGATCCAGCAGGTCATTAATGACAGAAAGCAAACTGTTCACAGAGTTCTTTGCTTTTCTGGCGTTGTCTTCTGCTTCCTGGGCAGCCTGTGAGGCCTGCAGGGTTTAAAAAGAAAAATAAATGAGACCACAAAAAAGGCTGTTGCCTCTCCTCTTCACAGGTCTGCCCAAGCAGTTAAGTCACGTGAATCCCTGGCTCCTCTCTCCAGGATAACATTCCTACACTGACATCTTTACCACAGTGCTGGTGAAGATCGATGACCTTCAGATAATGTTTTCTGATTATTTCAGATGGCAAGCCCTGATAACTGAGCAGGATTTTGCAGGAAAAGTCAGAACAGTCAATAGGGCTACAGTCAGGTTTTGATCAAAATAAAAGTGTTGCATTAAGAAAACTGTCTCTCAAATTCCAGAAGGGAATCTATGCTAAATGCCATGAGAGGAACTCCTTTGGTCACCTCACATTTTCAATTCCACTTAAAAATTGGAAGTTTGAATACTGGCTGGACGCACTGCTGTCTCTGCAGGAGAAAGACTGCATTGCCAAGCCAGCAGGGCAGTTTCTTGCCACTGCTGCCACCTGCCAGCGTTACTTACCATGCCTGCCATCATCATATCCTGCTCAGCATCATCCTGCTTCCGCTTCAGCTCTTTTTCTGCATCCTGTAGTTGCTTCATCATGTCATCCACTTCCCTGGCCAGCCCCGTCACATCAGCAAAAGTCTTGTCAGCTTCAGCTTTGGTAGCAGCAGCATTCTATAAACAACCATGGGGAACAGGATGGAAAATGGTAGTGAAGGTGCAGAACTTCCTTCAATCCTTTTCATCAAAAGGTCACCAATTTCCTAGCATGCCACATTTTCCATTCCCTAGTTGGGAATACAGCAGAAAGCATGTGTGGCTCACCATAAAATACTGGAGTAGAGAAGTTTATACAGTTACATACCAGCAAGTACCTCAGGAGGGTGGGTCCAGAACTGCAAAGGACTCACCTTCTGAACAGCACTGGCGATTTTCTCAGCATCATCTGCTTTTGCCTTGGCTTCGCGGGCATCAGCAGCAGCATTGCCAAGCGCCAGCTCCGCCTGGCGTGTCTTATTGTTGGCTTCAGCAATGGTCTGGGTAATGGCAGGAATCTTTTTCAGAGCCTCCTCAGCTGCCGTCTTGTTATCATTCACCCGCTTATCAAAATCTAAGAAAGGGCAAAACAGATTCTTATCACTTCCTCCAAAAGAGACTTGGGATGTTGAGTTGACCAAGCTACCTCCACTTTGTCACCTTGACATCAGAGGGACAAACAGCAAACCGGGGTGTGGGGGGATATACGCTTGCAACTCTCCCTACTAGACTCCTTATGACCCTAAATAAGGAACTTATGAGGAGCTTTCCAATTTTTTTTTTTTCTTTAAAGAAAAAAGCCAAAAGAACCCACCAACTCTCAGGTACTGGCAATAGCACAGCCCATTTAATCAAGATGCTTGTCACTTGCCAAGTTACATGTCACACAGGAATTGAAGGATTCACAGCAAGTGTTTTCTCTTTACCTTTCAGGTTGCTGAGAATGGTACTAGCCTCCTGCAGTGTGCCATTGCCCTTCCGAGCAGCTTCCTCAGCCAGGGCTTTCGCTGCATCTGCTCGAGCCAAGAGCTGGTCTGCAGTCTAAGGAGACATGACATGCATCAACATTCTGATACATTTCTTACATTAACAAGGTCCTACACCTGGGTCAGGGCAATCCCAGGCACAGCTACAGGTTGGGCAGACCAGATTCAGAGCAGCCCTGAGGAGGAGGACTTGGGAGGGGTGGTTGATGAGAAGCTTGACATGAGCCAGCTTCCGTGTGCACTTGCAGCCCAGAAACCAACCGTATCCTGGGCTGCATCAAAAGAAGCATGACCAGCAGGTCAAAGGAGGTGATCCTGCCCCTCTACTCTGCTCTTGTGAGACCTCACTTGGAGTATTGTGTACAGTTCTGGTGTCCTCAACATAAAAAGGTCATGGAGCTGTTGGAGCAAGTCCAGAGGAGGGCCACGAGGATGATAAGAGGACTGGAGCACCCCCAGTATGAAGACAGGCTGAGCAAGTTGGGGCTGTTCAGCCTGGAGAAGAGAAGACTGTGTGGAGACCTCATAGCAGCCTTCCAGTATCCGAAGAGGGCCTATTATAAGGATGATGGGGAGGGGCTCTTCGTTAGGGAATGTAGTGGTAGGACAAGGGGTAATGGCTTCAAACTTAAACAAGGGAAGTTTAGATTAGATATAAGGAAGAAGTTCTTTACAGTGAGGGTGGTGAGGCACTGGAATAAGTTGCCCAAGGAAGTTGTGAATGCTCCAACCCTGGCGGTGTTCAAGGCCAGGCTGGACAGGGCCTTGGGTGACATGGTTTAGTGTGTGGTGTCCCTGCTCATGGCAGGGTAGGTGGAACTAGATGATCCTAAGGTCCTTTCCAACTCTAACTGTTCTATGATTCCTTACTTGTTGAAGGAGGACCATCTAGGTGTATCATAAAGCATTGCTCAGCCTGAAACACCAATGCCATACAGAATAATGTCCGTCCCTGAGTGGCAATGCTTCCTCTGAAACCAGGTGAGTTTAGGTACTTTTGGAATACTGTTCCAAATACAAAGATGACACCACACCTGACAAACATCCTCTATTCTCTCATATAGCCTCAATGCCCTTTGTTTTACCAGCTTTTTGCATCTCCCTTCTGAGACCATTCTTCAGTATTCTTCTAAGTAACATGCAGTGCCAAGACTGAATAAGACCAGATCTTTCGTATCTGGCCAGTTATTCGTTTTCCTTTGTTTTTTCCAGGGAACAAAAGCCTGCACACAAAACAGAACTGACCTGCTGTTCCGTCTTCCCTTTCTCCAAGAGGTTCTTTACTTCCAGCTCCTTTCCTTTCATGTCTTCTCTCAAATCCTCATAATCTTTCAGCTTCCTGGCAATTAACTGATCTAACTCCTCCGCTTCCTTCTTGATCTTATTTGCTTCATTCTGCAGGTGGAGATTAGAAACAAATGCAGAATCCTGTATGTTAGAGAATTTCTGAACAGGTGGTGAAACATGGTATAGTTTCTAATGGTCAGACAGAAGCTATGATGGGTTCCCATTTCTTAAAACTACAGTTTTAATTTTGCCTTCAAAGCTCTGAATACCATGAAGGTCAGTGCAATAAAGGATGGATGTTGCAAACAGTTTTGTGTGCAAGAAACTTTACTGCACTATAGTAAGCATGTAAGATGGAGCAGTTCTGCAGGCTTCAGAGGGACCTGAAATTTTTTCACTTCTCTGTTCAAGCCAAGATGTTTGGCAAATAACAGTTCACTCAGTTTTTTATCCTTCAGAGATCAGGGCGATGTAGGCAAATTATGTATGTAGTTCCCTGCATGCACGTCTCCTTCATAAAAGTTGAAATGCCCAAGTCTGGATCATGCCTAGTTGAATAAAACTTCCAGAGACTGTTCTTACGCAGAGAAACATTAGCAAAGCACATGGAAGGTATGTCAGCAACCTAGCACACTGCTGTAATGCTTATCCTCATTGATCTTTAGAAAATGCTGTGCATGATGCTTCCTACACATACCTCTAGCCCTGTGGAATCCACAGTAGGCAGACTGGTGAGATTAGCATAGATCTGCAGGGCTTTGTTTCCAGCTTCCTCTGCCTCTGCAAGCACTTTGCTGGCCTGTTTCTCTAGGTCTCGAGAAATGTTCCTTGCCTGATTATACCTAAAAAAAAAAAAAAAAAAAAAAAACCCCAAGGATCCAGTTACTTTTTTTTTTGTCTGGTAGAACTGAACTTACTAATCGAGTAGGGAAGCTAAGAAATTGAAAGACAAGCCTCACAAAATCCAAAGCACACAATACTATAGAGGGTGTCTAAATTTTAAGCACTGCTCTAAAAGCCAGGAAATAAAACCAATTTTATGTTACTGACTCACTTCTGGTTGAGCTCCTCAATGTCATTTGCAGTTTGGTTTTCACCAGCCAGGGTCTTCAGCAGCAGCTGATATGCTTCTGTGGAAGTATCATTTGCTGCCTTAGCTATGCGAACAATCTCATCAGCTTCTTTTTTGTGTCTGAACAAGATTACAGAAGAAAAATAATGCCATTAGAACTGTCAGCCAGTGGTTTTCATCCTCTATTCCAGATCTTATTCTCTCTTCCTTTTCCTTCCTTCACCCAGATTTGCATACGGAAGATGCTGAAACATCTGCAACAGAAGATGCTGACTCTAACTCAGCAAAGTAAGAGACTCTATTTCACATCAAGCAAATAAAATTTTGGTTTTGCAAGGAAGAGGAGGGCCCTGATGCAGCCTGTGAGGAACATGTCTTGCCACAGCCTACCTTTCAGCTAGCTTACGGGCCTCTTCTGCCAATAGAGTCATGTTGTTAGGGTCCCCACTTGACTCTGGAGGTGTAATGGACTGAAAGAAAGAAAAAAAAAACGCTCTTAAAGCTCTTTTTTTTTTTTTTTACTTTTATTCATTTTTTCTTATATTTATTGTCATGATCTGAGTGGTCAGAGATGCATCTAACCTACTTCTACCTTCTCTGTATTTTTTTTTTTCTGAAGCCCATACAGTTTCCACCAACGGCTGTCCCTCAAAAAGAGGTGCCGATATTTATTTAGGGGTTCTTATACTGGTTTCTTTGAGCAGGAGATAAGATACAACCTATGACAGACACTGGGATCTTCCTTTATTTATTTCCTGTGGTCTTGGGCAGGGAGGAAGATATTTCCATAGCAAGTTTGCTATATGAGAGAGAGAGAACAAGCAGAGAAACACACCAGAAGGCACAGAAAGGAAAGGCCCTCTCCTCATCACATGAGAACTTGGCAGCACACTCACCACATTGTCAGCTGCCATCTTTGCCTTCTCAAGCATATCAGAAGCTAAGCTGATCAGGTCCTCAGTGTCCTCCACCCGCACCCGGGCTTGCTCTGCCAGGTTCTCTGTCTCCCGCACTGTGCCCTGGATGTTCCTCAGCCTGTTGAGCTGGCTTGTTAGCGTGTTGTTAATGTCTTTGAGACGATCCGTGAGTCCCTGATCTACATCTGAAACACATGATGTAAGAAGCAGCAAAATTAATTACAGCAGGAAGAGAAGTCAGAGCAGCAGCTTACCGCTGCAGGCAACACGTTGGTAGGTTAATCCCCTATTGAAACATGACCAGCAAAGTCATTTCAAAAATCAGTCAGCTTGAGATCAAAGTCATCATCAGAATGTACACCAAATTTGAGATATGAAATGTCATTAAGTACCAAGACCACAATCCTACTGGGTGTTGGAACCAACTCTGATGGGGATTTTTGTATTCAGAATCATGTTTCATCTCTATCATTGAATTAAAGAAGACAACACAGCTGTACCTCAAGAGGTATAAAACATCTGCTCTGTAAATTCTCTGTAGCTTAACTCCCAGAAGCTAAGCAAAGACAGAGGAACAGTGGGGTTGTACATTATTGCCCACTGTGGGCAATGGTGGCTACTCCTGAGCCAGACACAGTCTCCATATGCAGAATAGCAAATCCACCCCAACCTGACCCCAAACCAAACAGATGGCAAAAGCTGGCAGGATAGAGCCTTGGTTCTCCAGTCTGTAGGAACTATGAACCCCCCAAACTTCCCCAAATTTTTGGACCACCATGTAACTCCCCACAACAGCATCTTATTAACAGAACCATAAAAGCACAGATATATGCCTCATGACAAGGGGCAATTACTTTTAAAAAGTAAGAGCATTATTAGGAGATGAAGTACAAGCAGAAGCCTTCAGGCCTCCAAAATTAAGATTTTTTCCTTGACCTTGCAACACACTAAGTACTGAACATGAACGTCTGACATATTTCAGAAGCATACTACAAACCACGTAGAAACGTAGAAAAACACAACTAAGTGTTACAGGTGTGCAGAGGTTTTTGCAACGGTAGCCTCTGTTGCATTTAACTTGTCTCTTAGTTGGGGAAGGAGCAACAAAGCTGGTGAAGGGTCTTATGAGGAGTTACTGAAGCAACTCAGGTTGTTTAGTCTGGCAAAAAAGACACTGAGGGGAGACCTTATCACTCTAGTGAGATAAGAGTGGTGGACTTGGCAGTTCTGAGGTAACAGTTGGACTTGATGATCCTAAATGTCTTTTCCAACCTACTTGATTCTACAATTCTAATATCTAATCTACCCTCTTCGAGCTTAAAGCCATTCCCCCTTGTCCTGTCACTACTTGCTCTTTTATAAAGTCCTTCTCCGGCTTTCTTATAGGCCCTGTTTGGGTACTAGGAGGCTGCTGTAAGTTCTCCCTCAAGCCTTCTCTTCTCCAGGCTAAACAACCCCAGCTCTCTCAGCCTGTCTTCAGAGGAGAGGTGCTCCAGCCCTGTGATCATCTTTGTCGCCCTCCTCTGAACTTGCTCCAACAAGTCCATGTCCTTCTTACACTGGGGCCCAAGTGCTGAACACAGCACTCTACGTGGAGTCTCACAAGAGCAGAGGAGAAGAGAAGAATCACCTCCCTTGACCTGCTGGTCATGCTTCTTTTCATGCAGCCCAGTGTAACAGCTGGCACTTTTTTAGCTTTCCAATGAGTACATTGGGAAGTCTTCCGTTTGTTTAGCAAGTAAGTAAAAAACACTTCTTCATCTGGAGAAGAGGGTAACATATAGAAGACCTGCATCTCTACACAGTTAGAGGCAGATCTTCACTTTGCATGTACAGCAGAGACCACTGGGAGAACAGCAGGGATAAAAGCACTGTTGTTTTGATAACATACACTGTCTCAGTGCTATCTGAAATGGCTGTCAGCCCTGACACACAACATAGACTTGAAATTAAACACCCTGTGTCCAAAGGGAAGAGGAACATCAAGCAAAGAGCTCATTTCATGTTGGTCCATGTCTGCTTAGGTCAACTCACCTTTGCTGTTTTGTGCTTCCTGGAGCAACTCCATAACATCTCTTTCTGCCTGCTTCAATCTCTCTTCAAAGACTTGATCAGTTACAGTTTCTTCACCTGTACCTAGATTTGCTATAAGATTTTCCAGCTCCTGCAACCTCTCACGCTGCTCCACCACCTAGATAAGGACAGAAGACAGCTATAACACAGAACAAAGCACTTTGAACCTCTCTGCTTTCAGCAGGCAGCAGCCAACAACAGGCATAAAAGCCACTGCACAAGTGGGCACATTGCCACCTTCTCCAGTGGTACCAACAGTGGTGTTTGTGGCCTCACCTTATCTTTCACTAATCTGTAGCAGGCTGGACACTCTTGGCAGCCTGGCCAGGAGCGGTTGTAGAAATAGTTCTCCTCACACTGGTCGCAGCGGCTCCCCACAAAGCCCTCCTTGCATTCGCAGTGACCATTCTCCTGGCACTGCAGGGAGCGTGAACCCTCGGGATCACAGTCACAGGCTGCAGGGAAGTTAAACCTCAGTCAGACTGCAGTAGAGGCAGAAATACCTTAAAACCCACAGGGCAACAGCATACCCTCAACATCCCAAAATGTCTGCAAGAGCAACAGGGCACAAACGCACAGCTGGAGCCCCACTCCAGGCACTTCTACACACAGCAACGCACTCACAGCAGTGCACTGGGTCTAGCTGGACACAACATTCACTGCCTGTGTTCAAAGTGCTGCTATTGCCTCTCCCACAAAGCATTGTAATTTTCTACCTCATTTAATTGTAACCAACTGCAGTTAATTTTTCTGCTTTTTACAGGCAGGGGTATCAAAGAGGAAAGTTAGGATCATCCTGCTTTTCAATCATGTTTACAAAGTTCCTCGAGACAGAATCTGTATATTAGGGCCATTTGCAGAGTAGCTGGGCAGAGATTTAACATCAGGAAACAAGACTCTTGCTGGACAAGATCCAGAGAATGTATTTACATTGAAGAGAAGTGCATATCTAGTAAGTTGGAATTCTTCCTGCTCCCCATTATAAAAATAATGAAAAGGGGATAAACTATTGTATGGAGATGAAATTTCACCATGCACAGTGTGGACATAAAAATGCCAACTTCTGCTGTGATGAAGAATGAGGTGAGAAAGTACCTTCCCAGAGACAGGAAGAAAATAAAGAGAAGGCTGGCTGTGCAACATCCTTCCCATCTGCCTTGCTCCAGCCTCTCAAACTTACGTTTACAGCCTTCGGAGCCAAAGCCAAAGTGGTTGACCTCACATCTGTCGCAACGCTGGCCGGTGACGCCAGGCTGGCACTCACACTGCCCGGTTCGGATGTCGCACTGGCCATTGGTGGAGCCCAGTGCATGGCAGTTGCACCTGTGGGAGGTAGCCACATGTCAGACAGTGACACAGAAGCGGGCATGGATGAAGTGCCTCTCTGAGGGAGCCCTAACTAGCACAGCTCAATTTTTCCATTTGCCAAAAGACCCTCTTCTTCTTGTGCAGATGCAAAAGCAAGGCATTGAACCTTTGAACCATGCAAAGTCACTTGGTGCCTGCACTAAAAAAGGAACCCGCCAGCCCCTGCTATCAACAATCAGACAGTCATGTGGCACTTTTCTATTTAAAACCCTGATTTAAAGCTATTTATAAAGCTATTTATAAGTAAGGCTTTTTGTACAGCCTTCACAACTGCTCCTTGACTGCTGCGCTTCCTCACCCATAGCAGCATCAAGGCACACAAGCTACTTGTGACAAACATCACATTCCTGCACAGAGTAAGCACAGACACCCCCCCCCCCAACCAGGCTCTGCCCCAGTGCAAGGCAAGCATCACCTCTCACAGCCACGTCCACTCTGGAGGTTGAAGAAGCCAGGCTCACAGGCACTGCAGTCTCTCCCAGTGACATGAGACAGGCACTCACACTGCCCAGTCACTTGATTGCAACTTGTCTGCTGATTCACAGTGCCATATGGATTGCAGTGACAAGCTGCAAAAATAGGAGGGATACAAAAATACGCAGAAGGTTAGAAGTCCCTTGTGGTGCTGGTACTCTGCTAGCCAGTCCCTGAACGAGGTTGGTTTCAAAACATGCACATCCCTGCCCCTGCATCGCACAATGCTTTTGCTTCGATGGCAGTAAGCACCCACAAACACAAGCATTTTAGCAAGCTAGAACCAGCAAACCAGGATAAAGCCACGCATCGCTGCTGACAGGCATGAACAACAACCTGACATTGTATGCTAACAACATATCAGGGAACAGCAGCTCTTGGGGACAAAACCATTTTTAAATGCAAAAGGAACCAGCTCTCACCTCTGCACTTGTCGGCAGGATCGGGGGCCAGGGGGTTCCCGAAGAAGCCGTCTTTGCAGCGGTCGCAGTAGAAGCCAGCGGTGTTGTAGATGCACTTGAGGCACTCGCCCGTCTGGCGATCGCAGTTCCCCACGGCGTTGGGATCGATGTTGTCATTGCACTGGCAGAGGCGGCAAGGCCTCACGGCACCATTTTTGCCCAGTGGGTCTCCAAAATAGGCATCGTCACACAGCTCGCACCTCTTGCCTGGGATGCAACAGAAACACATGTTGCAGCAGAAAGCCATTTGCTGCCATCTCACTCAAACCCCCTTTGCAGTCCCATCTGACAAGTCAATTTTCCAGCTTACTCCCCTTTCATCCTTCTGTTAAGATCAGAAAAGTGAATAAAACCACACACAAATTCTTCCCCATCTCCAAATTTAAGCTGCTTTCTCACTGGAACTTTGCATTATGAATTATTTCAGCTTCTTCTTTCTCTCCTGTCCCTTTAAGCCAAACCTATTTGTTGTAATTTGTTGTTAATTTAAGAGTCCAAGATGTTAGAGCTCCATGGGGCATCACTGCTCCAGGAAGCCCCACTGCCAAGAAGATCTGCCAAGCCTCCACAGGCAGCCCCTAAAGCATCCAACTCAGCAGCTCCCTACACTTACTGCAGATTTGACCTCCCCAGCCAGCTATAAGCTCTGTTTCTTGGGCAGTTCTTGCACACACAAACCCTCTTTTCCCCTCACCTTTTCCCTTACATCTCAAGAAGACAGTGGGAGACAAGAGGAACTCCTGCACAATCATGCATATACCAGTAAAGATGAACTTGTACTGACGCCTGAGCTGCAGGGAATATGGACCCCCCGGACTCCATTTCGGTTCACGAAGCAATGGCACCCATGGAACCCCCACAAACTGCCTCTGTGCTTCATCAGAGGCTTTTCTAAGCATTTCAAACATTTACAGGTATTCTGTACTTTGGACTTTGCCATGCCAAGCATCAAATCTGCAGAGAAGCATGGAGGCTGGCCAACCAACCTAAGGCTTCTTTGCTTTGCAGGCAGAATAAAAGGCCCTGCTTAACGACTCAGCTCTGTGCTCAGACTTCATTTTATTGCTAAGAAAAAAAAGATCTGTACCTGGTCATATATTTCTCTTTACAACTGCTGAACATAAATTTGGTCTTGTATTTTTGAGGCAGTGTTTGTGAGCCACCACAGCCTTCCTCTTTTTCCTGGAGAGGGCACTGGCCCTCTTGTGCAAGTATCCTGCAAGCATCATGCAGTGCCTCTCTGGCTGGCAAACTGCATCTTCTAATTTTATTTCAGTCTGACCCGCCTTCCTGTCTCTTTTAAATTTATCCTATTTTCTGTCCAACCCTGTGTAATTAATGGAGCTCTATTAGAACCTAGCACAGCTCATCTATGTACCACAGAAGCATTCAGACTTTGCACAGATTAAGCCTTTGTTTCCTTTTCGTTCTTGAGACAAGCACAAAGAACATGGCTAGCCCAGAGCCTCACACATGACAAAACAGGGCTGAGGAAGGGAGATGAATTTTAACTAGAAGACACAGAAGCTTTCAGTACCGCTCACTGAGGGTCAGAGCCCTAGAACTGGCAGGAAATATTTCTACAGGCACATGGGATGCAGGGGGAAAAAAACCAGAAAACAACAAAACAAAACAAACAATAAAAACCCCCAACCAAAGTAGCCCCACTTTTTTTGTAAGAACACACCTGTAGTGCCAGCCTGGCAGCTGGTGCACACAACCTCCTTCGTGCGAGGCACAATGGCACAGCTCGAGCCGCCTGGGCACGGGCAGGGCTGGCAGTCTGAGGCTGTACCTGCTGTTGCATCTCCATAATACCCATCACTGCACTTCTCACAGTGAGACCCTGCCGTGTTATCCCTGCAATTGCACATACCTGGAATAGAGAAAGACGTGGGGTTTGTTTCATCATTCAGTCCAGAAAGAATAACCATGCTCTTGCTGCTCCCTGTTTTATCAGCTGTTCTTACCCGTCTCTGGTTCGCATGTCTCACTGTGCCCATTGCAAGCACAAGGCACGCAGGGGCTGTAGGGCCCAAGGCTTGGTGTCTCTCGCCGGTACCCAGAGGAGCAGCGCTCACAGAACTGCCCCTCATATCCTGCTGGACAGGAGCAGCTCTCCACCCAGGTCACAGGCACACCAGGTCCAGGACGAGCACTTGTGATGGTAACATCATCCAGGTGACCAGCACCTAAAAAGCACCAAGAGGAGAAGTGCTTTGTAACCACAAAGGCTCTCATCACCACTTCACCAAACATACATCTGAATGGTACAAGAGACAGACAGATGGATGCTTGCAGTTGGTAAGGTGAATTAAGAAGTAAAAATCCTACAGGAAGGCTTAGGCAGATGAGAAAAGATGCAACATAGCTCACAAAGGTCATGTGCAGGGCAGGAAAGTTGAGAATCACAACACAGGAAGATACCGAGAACAGCATGTGAGCAGGTACAGTCAGTTAAATTAAGTTACATTTTGCATGCACATTGTTTCCATTTCCAAATCAAATACCAAAACCAATACCTGTCTTTCTAGGTAAGACAGACCATCCCTCCAGCAATTTTAATACACTGTCCCTAAGACAACATCTGCAAACCATGCCTTGAGGCAAACTCTTCAGCTATTCACCTCAAGCCGTTCCTTCGTCTGGCATTTGAGCACTCCCCCATCTCCTCCCTGCCCCTTTCCTGGAGCAGAACAGAGCCCAGACACAAATGAGCTGATTTTTAAACTTACTGCAGTGTGTGTGTACCACACCACAGCAGCTCCAGAGAACCAAGCAGAGCCTCAGCTCCCACATATTAGCAGCAGGTACCACATGCAGGGGATAACTTGCTTCGTACCTTTCCTTCCCTTTATTTCACAACTCCACATGCCTCTTTATGAGCCACCTCTACTGAAAACACTTGCGGCTTTCCCACCTTCCCCAAATGCAAATTCACCTTTTGCGTCTTGCTGCAAAGACTCTTGACACAACAATACCCAAGGGCCCAAATATTTCTGCTCCTAATTTTTGCCCCATTTTTATAAACCATCATCACAAGGAACTTGAGTGAAAGTTCAGCACAGGCAGCACTTTTGAGACCTCATCCTTCCCACTTGTAATG